GGCTAGCCTTGAACCTGTGTCAATACAGGTGTACAGAATAACTCACTCCACTGCTTCTAGATGCAGTTCTCCCTTGTGCCCTCCTTATGGCAGGGCAGAGGCCTAGACATAGCCCACTCTGGAAGCCTGCCCTGCATATTAGGACTATTACACCAAGGCTCTGATGTGTAGTCAGGCCCTGGGCAAAGTCCATATAGGTCAGGCCAATGGGCACACCAAGGGAGGCTCTATGTGGGCAGACACCACACCTGAGTGAACATTCTTTCTCCTTTCCAATGCATGCATATCTCCATTCCATAGCAGAAAGCTCATGGGTTCATGAAAAGGCCTCCCTGGTCTTCATCACTGCTTGTAACAAGGCAGAGAGACCCATGTGCACAGGGACACAGATCCATTCTGAGCCACCTCAGTGGACTGGGACAGGATGGAGTCCTGGGATCCCCCACTTCTACCAAGAACACTTATTTTTTAAGCACACCTTTTCTTCCCTAGCCTCTGTGCCCTACTGCCTGCAGAAAACAGCTCTCGGAGAGAATAGGAACTCCTGAGCAAGTGTGAACTGTGGGAGGAAGGCTGGCAGTGCCCAGGCTTAGCCACGGAGAGGAGCAGAAAAGGGCAGAAGAGAGGCAGGATAGCTGCATGCTACCTGATATGAGCTCTGAACGAGGCCCTGGGCAGGCAGCAAATCCTTTTCTCTGTTCCCTGAAAGCACAACTCTAACAGAGGTTTGAAGCCACAGTACTCTCACCTGTACAACTAGGTCAGATGGCTAGAGCCAGATGTGGGAAGAAGGCTGTATAATCCCACAAGGGACTCACAGCAGGGACCAGAGAAGCGTGGTGAGAAGTGATCACCAGACACTGCATGCCACCCACCTTCACTGCCGCAGAGGCTACCAGGCCCTTTCCACCCATATTTAGGAGCTCTGGGCCTTGGCCCCACACAGTTTCTGACTCAGCCCCTCACCAGCCTGGCCTATCTACAGGGACTGAAACAGAAGACACTTGCTAGTTCCTGCTTGACATTCAGAAAGCTCCCTGGTCCAACGGCCACCTTCACTCCTGCTTCTGTTCCTCTATCACCCTCCATCCATGAGCACCAACGAACGTCCCTGGTCTTGGCACAGCCGCACGTGTGCTACACACGTGTGCTACATGCTTCTCACCTGTCTTCCTCTACACCTGTCTCCCGTCCCACCCTTCTCTTCCCAGTCACTTTTCTCTCGGCTGTCTCTTCTCCCACCTGTCTTTCACCTGTCCTCTGATCTGCCCCTTCACACTTCTCCCTTGCCCGTCTCTCCTCTGTCTTGTCTCTCCATGACCGGACTCTTTACCTCATCTGAATCTCCTTGACCCACCTCCCCAACTGCCTGTCTCTCTTACCCATCTCTCCCTCATCCCACCTGTCTCACCCTCACAGGCTTCTATCCCATGGTTCATCTGCAGCCTGGCAGTCATCAGAGTTCTCATCGAACCTCTTAGTGGCTGCGTGGAAGTGTGAAATGGATGATTCGTCTCTCACTGTGGCAGCCTATCCACTGACCTGTGAGCCCAGTCAATTAAAATGGAAGGCTGTCCTGCTCCTTCATCCTCTTCTCTTGGCCTGACTGACCACTTCTTTCAGAGTAGTGGACCCTGTCATCACCCCCTCTGCTGGCTAGGTTTATTTTATTTTATTTTTCTTTTATTTTATTTTTTTCTTTTTCTTTTCTTTTTTCTTTTTCTTTTCTCTTTTTCTTTTCTTTCTTTCTTTTTTTTTTTTTACATCAACACAGACTAGTCATTTGGGAATAAAGAAGATTAATTGAGAAAAAAAATGACCCCACCAAATTGGCCTGTAGACAAGCCTACAGGACATTTTCATGATTGATGATTGATTCAGGAGAACCCATTCCATTGTGAGTGGTACCACTTGGGTAGGTAGTCCTGGAGTTGCATGAGAAAGCAGGCTGAACAAATCATGAGAGTAAGTCAGCAAGCAGCATTCCTCCAAGCCCCCTGCTTCAGGTCCTGCTTCCAGATTCCTTCCTTGCCTTAAGTTCCTGTCATGACTTCCTTCTAAGATGGACTGTGATGTGTAAGCTGAAATAAACCCTTCGCTCCCCAAGTTGCTTTTGGTTATGGTGTTTTAGCACAGCTATAGAAATTCTAACAAAGACAGGGTCCTATGGCCCTCCTGGGCTGTGTGCCCACAAAGGCAAAGTTCCAACATGGACAGAAAAATGCCCTGCTCTGCGGCTGACAGGCAGAGCAGTGAGGCTACAGAACCTATTCAACCCTCCCTCTGGTCCTGACACCACCTAGTTTTGAAACATCTCCCATTCTTCTTCCCAATTCTCTCTCTAGGGGTGCCTTCAAGGGTAGGGATTGTCTCCCATCTCTGCAGAGGCCAAGTCTGGAGGGAACTGGAAAAAACACATCTCAGATCAGGGGAAAGTTCTGCTGGAGCCTTTGCCAGTGGATTCCCAGCCCAGCCCAGCCCAGCCCAGCCCAGCCCAGCCCACCTGGCTCTGGTGAGCCACCAACTCCTGAACAGCTCTACTGGTCAGTCTTCCAAGTGTCACTCAGCACCTGGACCCAAGTGGACAAATCATCAAAGGACACACTCAAGGCCTCCAAGGGTAGCTTACAGGTACACACATGGAAAAGCCAAGACTGCAGCCACAGCAGCCAGAAGTAGAGGCCAAACACTAGCAAAAATGATAAGAGAAACTCACTGGGTCCAAGCAACTCATGCAAGGATGAGGTACTGCCCAGTGGGTGATCCAAGAGAAGGGGAACACTGGATGCTCTAGAAAGCATAGAGAAGCCACAGACCCCCTACCCCATCTAACTCTATGGAAGCAACATCTTGAGGTCCACCTTCCCATAAGTGATGGGCTTACACAAGGCTCACTGCCACCAGACTATGGCCATCCATAGCCCCAAAAAGCAGCTTATATGTGCGTAGACAGACACAAGCAAAATGGAACAAGGGTTAGTGTTGAAATGAGCAGGTGGGTAGGAACTGAAAGCCATCTGTGTGTGTGTGTTCCCAAGACATGTGGTCATGCCAGGAGAAGCCCTCAGATCAGCATGTAAGCAGGGCAGCAGTGGACAGGGGTCTGGCCTACACTCCCTCATCAAGCTTTCCTGGCAAGAAGTCTGCCTCTGTCTGATTCTGGTGTAAGACATAAGGTTAAGATACAGGAATTCTGCTGACATCTAGTGCTAAGTGGCCAGGCCCAGCAAATAGAGTCAGGATCTACCTACATCCACCAGAATGACCCTTCAATAGTAGAGAGGGAAGACACACAGGATGAACAGTCTCTTGAGCTGCACATTTGCACTCCTCTGACAATCAGAAGTCTGGAGAGAGGGTGCATCCAAGGGCCCAGGAGCACAATTGCTAGGGTCCTTCTATATCACCCACCATCACTGTGTCATTAACTATACAACCATGTAATGCCACAGAGAAAACAAGGAGACCAGCCCCCACCCAGAGTCCACAAGGCACCATGCATCATTCACTGCTCTCATCACTTACACACCCAGGGCTTCTTATAACAATGTTTTATTGGTACGATAATTAGATAATTTCACTGCCTCCTGCGTTCTGCTGCTCCAGGCTCTTCCCTCACAAACTACAGTTGCTCATCCCAGGAAACATGCATATCCAGAACTCAAGAGAACACCAGCTGCCTATGCCTTCCTCTCAGTCCCGGGCCCCTTGCTCAGTGCCTTGATGTTGACTGCTCAGCTCAGGGGTTGACTCCAGGGTGGGAACATGTAGCACTGGGGCTTAAAAAAACCCATCCACCTTTGGCTCAGTGACATCACAGTTACGAGCCTCCAAGGAAACTCAGCCTGGCTCATCTTCTCAAAATCATCTTCTCCCACTGCCTCCCTAAAGCCCCAGGGGTGCTTGCAGAAGGCTCCCAAACCCCCACCTGAACCACACTGCACCTTCCCACTGCCCTTCACTCCCCAGCCTGCACTGGCTCTGGGGAACTTTTTCCAAAGGAAAAAGAGATGTGGGCAGTGCCAGTCGGACCTTTGGGCAGCCGGAAGACAGGCCAGTCCTGAGAGAAGAAAGAAAATGGCTGAGTCCCAGCCTCCCACAAAGACGACTGTGTGAGTGTGCCTCGCTGACCAGATGAGGGGGCTGACTAAACCTAACCCGCCCCAGAAAGCTGGCTAAATGTAAGGTAATCGAGTTCACTGCTGGTCTATGGGAAAGCTGTTTCGAAATGGAACCTGCCCAGGGAAAACAGTGAGGACTCTTGGGGAGGTTCATTTCTGCTATAGGCCCAGGTCTGTTTCAACCGCCAGGCGGTGATGTATGGCCCAAGCCCAGGAACCATCACCCTCAACCTCCCCAGGGAAGCCCAATGTCGCAGACGCTCAGGTTTGCTTGAGACTAGGTGCAGAAGGCGCTGTCCAGCTTTCCTTAGGTTCCTGAGGCTGTCACCCCCACCAGAATGGGAGGTCCAGGCTAGGAAAGCCAGGCCAGGACCTGCCGGGCGGTGGCCGCTGCCTGGAGGTGGGGGTCATGCGGCCGGGACGCAGCTGCTCAGGCAGCACGCCTATTAACGCGGCAGACGGCAGATGGGCACCCGCTCGTCCCCCTCCTCCCGCGGCACAATGGGCCCGGCGCTCGCTCGGGCGCACAATGCGGGCCCCGGGCCGCGCACCTGCAGCGGGACTGCCGGGAGCCGCCAGGCCCAGCCCAAGCTGCCCCAGTTGCCGTGCGCCCCAGGCCGAGCTGCATGTCCTTGGGCTGCGCCCGCCCTCCCGCAACCGGTGGGCTGAGAGGCTCCACCGCGGGACCCAGGAGTGCGGCGGACGCCGGCGCACCGCCGCCCATTGTTCGCGGCCGCCGGGCCCAGCCTGCAGCATCCCTGCTCTGTGGCCTCCCTCGGCCCCACCCGGCCGGTCAGCACGGTTTCCCCGGCCCCACGGCCGCGCGCTCGCCCTGCACCCCGGCCCCGCCCGCGCTCCCAGCCGCCGGCGCGCACGCACCTGTCTGCCCCTTGCCCAGCGTCTTCTCCAGCCGGTAGGGCCCCACATACTGCGCGTGCTGCGCCCCGCCGCCGTCCTTCCCCGTCGATGTCATC